AAGGGTATATCTTGCAGCGAGATTAATTCCGCGAAATCGGCTTCCCCGGCCGTGTCCGTCGCATTCGTTGCGCGCCATTCTATGGCGTCCCGTTTCGGCTGAAGAGCCGCTCGGTTTCATAGTTCGCCGGCGAGAGCCATACGCCTATTCTGGCGTTCCCGCGGTCGGCTTATTCGAGCACATTATCCCGCGTGCACGTACAAAAATATTCGCGTGGTCGAACCTCGGCTGGTTAAATCCTGCGCCATCAGCCAAATAGATGACGGCCTGTCATTTATCCGCTGCAAAGCGCACATCCTGCCAAAGGTCGACTGTTTTTTTTTTTATGCCCGGAACCTCTCTTTTCCGCAGTCCATTACTCTTATTAGCGCGAAATTCCAGTCAAGCGAATGAAACGAAGTTTTACGGTCAGTCGACGAGGAGGGAGCTTGATTCCAACGCTCCCCGTTGACCATTAATCAGTCTTGGTTATCCCATGGATGCATCGGAAAGAGGAATAAAAAATTACTGTGATATTAATATTTCTCATTTAGAGTTATACAGAACGTATAACGAGCGTTCTTCGTTTTTATGGAATCAAAGTTCTTCAAGAGATTCAAATAATTGCGGCGTTCGACGACTCGGATACTTTCGATATTCAGTTATCGGTTTTCTCCCAGTTCGTTGCTACCGTTGGACGGTGGATTGTTGTGGCGAGTTTATGACGAGCGACGAATCGATTAAAGTATGAGTCGATAAAATTATTATTCGATATTTTTTCGCCGGACTGTTGCGTTCATCGGTTTCCTGGTCGTCACTCGATTTGTACCAGTAGTGTAGCGTACGACAAGTCAGCCTGTTAGTAGCTTAAGGATGTATTGGCTATACAGTCAATCCCAAAAGTTTATGTACTTTAGAAAAACGCATTCCCTATAATTAAAAAGAAATCAGACGTCGGAAGAACAATGCTAATAATAAATAGCTACGTGTTAAAAAGTATGGAAGGAAATATCCAATTAAGTATTGACGCTGACGAAAGATTTTTTTTTTCAAAATTGCGAAAAATGCTTCAAATAAAAGTTATTTTCCTTCTAACTTCGATATTTAACGAGTTACGTATGATTATTTGATATTTTATTGATGTTAACAAAATCCGACCATCCCAGCGTCGAAACGGCGAACTTTTGGAAAAAAATTTCGTTTTTCCTCAATAACTCCTAAACCGTTGATCCTACGGGAAAATTGCATAGAACCTTTTTTGTAGAGAACGACGAGATCTATAATTTCCATATAAAAGTTTTTCGCTAGTATTAATATTTAACGAGTTATTGACGAAAAACGAAAAAATAGTTT